AAAACCTGCATTCATGTGTGCACATATTCCTATGATGAAGTCCGTGGAAGATTGGAATATATATGCACTTAACTGAGCTATGTATTGATTCACGTATAGCATTTTGGACGCGTAAATAATGGGTGTCCATGTTTTGCAGGAGACGAGAATATGGATGATATTATGCTCGTGGACTTCGAAAATGACAACGTTGAGGACAATGTGAATTTCATGGAAGGTGAAACAGAAGGAGGAGATGGTTTGACTGCGCCTGAGGTTAGTATGAAGTTCAAGGATGAAACAGAAGTGTATGATTTTTATGCTAGATATGCTTATGCCGTGGGTTTTCCGGTTAGGAAGAGTTCATCGAGGGATGATGATGGGGTTTTAAGATATGTCACGTTCACATGTAGTCGTGAGGGACGAAAAAGCAGTAATACAAGCACTTCTCTGAAACCGCAACCAACAATTCAGATGGATTGTAAAGCTAGAATATCTGTATCATTAGATATCCATGGTTACTGGAAAATTAACACTGTTCATCTCGATCACAACCATGAGACAAGTCCTAGTAAGTCAAGATTATATCGGTACAACCGAGTGTTGAGTGCATGTGTGAAGCGAAAGCTTGAAGTGAATGATATAGCAGGAATACCATTGCATAAAAGTTTTAACTCTGCAGTTGTTGAAGCAGGTGGTTACGAGAATATGACGTGTGTCGAAAAGGATTGTCATGACTATATTGATCAAGTGAGACGACTAAGACTTGGTGAGGGTGATGCAGCTGCAATACGGTCTTACTTTTCTGAAATGCAAGCATGATGCTCGGGATTTTTCTTTAGTATTAACTTGGATGACGATTCACGGTTGAAGAATGTCTTCTGGGCAGACAACCGGTGTAGACAAGCCTATAAAGAGTTCAGGGATGTCATCACATTCGATACAACCTATCTTACTAATAAGTATGACATGCCCTTCGCCCCTTTTGTTGACGTTAATCACTACGGGCAATCGACGTTGTTGGGGTGTGGTTTGGCATCGAATGAGGACACTAATACATTTGTCTGGTTGTTCCGAACATGACTTAAGTGCATGCATGATCAAGCTCCTCATGAAATAATTACTGATCAAGATAGAGCCATGCAAAATGCAATCGAAATAGTTTTCCCAAATACAAAGCATAGATAGTGCTTGTGGCATATTCTGAAGAAGTTGCCGAAAAAATTTGGATACCACATGGATAAAGCTTCAATATTTTCGACTGTACACGTAATAGTTTATGATTCACAGTCTGTCAAAGAGTTCGAGAAAGGTTGGACAGATATGATCGAGACATTTGAGCTGCATGATAATGTTTGGTTGTCGGGACTATACGAAAACAGAGTGCCCTGTTTCCTAAAAACAAGTTTCTGAGCTGGTATGTCAACGACACAAAGAAGTGAAAGTATGAACACCTTCTTCGATGGTTACATGCATTCAAAGACATCGTTGAAACAGTTCGTTGAGCAGTACGAACGAGCACTGCGGAATAAGGTTGAAAAGAAATTTCAGGTTGATTTCAAGTCTTACTCTCAAGTTATACCGTGTGCAACAACATACGAAATGGAAAAGCAATATCAGACATATTATACCATTTCTAAGTTCAAAGAGGTTCAATCCGAATTTACGGGAAATGTTTATTGCGATCTCATATCTGCAGTAGAGGGACATATGGGGGCAAAGTATGAGGTACGTGAAGACGTAGTATGTGGCGAGCGACAAAAGAAAAAAATATTTCTGGTGTGGTTTAATAGAGAAAAAAGTGAAGTATTTTGCAGTTGTCGCTTGTTCAAGTTTCGGGGAATAGTGTGTAGACATGCGATCACGGTTTTGATACATAATGACGTTACTATAATGCCGGATCGGTACATTTTGCGACGATGGAGGGAAGATGTCACCAGAGCACACACGAGGGTCCCCATTCACTACGATGGTTTGGTTACCACTCCACCACAATTGAGGCATGACGATATGTGTCAGTCGTTCACGGAGGTGGCAAACCTTGCAGCAGACGACTAACGAAAGTATGGTGCGATCAAGGATTGGATAGAACTTAGTTTGACGAAGTTCAATTATGGGAGTAATAAGATTTTGCAGTGTACTCCATCTGAAAATGCAGGAAGTGGGCTTGTAAGGGATCCAAAACCATCAAAGACGAAGGGGGCACCAAAGACTTAACGGAGGAAAGGTCCGTTGGAGGCGAGATCGAATAAATCGAAGGTATATTCTTATTCTTATGCCATACTCTTTTATTCACTTTTTTTTTGTATAGTAATTAACGGTGTTTATTGGAAAGCATGCAGGCATGTTCGAACCAAACAAAAGGAAGAAGTCTGACGCTGAGGGATAGTAATATCCCCGATTCGATGGTATATTGTGATGAACAACATTTATGTTTTCGTTAGTTGATCTTTGTTGGAATAATTGGTTGTTCGAATAAATTTTAGTTTGTTGTTTTTAAATGATGTCTTCTTTTGGTTTTCTAATATGAGCTTCTTAATTGATTGCTTGTCATTTGGTTTCAAACTGATATAGGTCTCCAAAGTCAGCCTGAAATGCCACTTCAAGAGGCTTTCGGATCAACCCAATTGAGTAGTCCAATCTTCAACCCGTTGCCATTTCCCATTCACGTTCCAAGCCAGTTATCAGAACACTAAAAATTGAAATGTTATTACAAGCTAGTTCATTCGCAAATGACCCACTTTTATTTTGTTATGAGCAGTACGAACATGTAGCCTCTCTTTTTTGTTTTCGATGGCATAACTTGCATGTATGTGTTAACCAAATGGTCGATTTATTTTCATGGTTGCTTATAATTTCTAATATGGATTTATATTTTGATAGATGGTTTTCATGGTTTGTTGTGAAGTAATGAATTTGATAGATGGTTTTTCTGGGATTTTATTATAACATAACATTCAATTGATTTTACCGGTATATTGATTCAATATATTGAGTTGCAATTAAAATGTTACATGAGCTACTTTGATTACAGTGATTAATGATTTGTAGATGGTTTAGACAATGGAAAATGTGGAAAATACAACAGGAATATGCTTGAAATTGAACCAACTGTTGTTGTGAAGCGCCAATTCCAAACATCCAGGCAGTATTGAACTTTGTAAAAAAATATACATGCCATTGCTAATAAGACACACCCCAAACGTTTTCCTTATCTTGCCAACTAGTACTCAAAAAATGAGCCATCCAAGATGCCTCCAAGACCATGCAAATGCAGACACAAATGTGCAAACCACTATCACTTCAAATATTGCACAACTCAATAAAGCGATGCATCATTGCCAAATCCAACAGTGCGAAATTCCAAACTGAGTGAGTTGATGAAATGACATTAATAGTTAACTAAATTAAAGCTACAAACAATTACATAACCACAACTCTAATTAGAATGCAGTTCATATTAAGAAGCATGGGATCAAAAACTAATTCTTCCCATCAAGTACGTCTATGGCATACGTTCATGAAAGACGAAGAGAGTACAAATGTCGTGCGGCATTGCTACAAAAATAGTACCACAGTATACATGACTTAACCAAGTGCACTATGCCTTCTCTTTCCCCTTAGTTTCTCGTTCAGTAGGTGGTTTTCCACGGCGGAAGGTCAAGTTTACATTCACATAAATCAAAAGTTCTTCGTTATCATTAAGCCGCACTTGAGATTCGAATGTTCGAGACATATCATCAACTTCTTTGTGCGCTGCTGGTTTAGCCAACGTAACGCAAGTGTTACTGTATTGGCCGTTTGCTTATCCTTTTTCACATCAATCCTAAAAATCACACTTCTAACTGCAACATTGGAAGAAATTGCCAAGTTAATCAGAGTGAATTTATGACAAGAATTAGCCAGCAGCATTGCAAAACCATAAGATCATCAGTAGCAATGTAACTAGCTAGAATCACAAGTGTCGACCCCTCTTGCACATAACAGATTCATAAACAAAAATATCACAGCAGCATGACCTAACGATCATCTGAGCACCCCCATTATTTTACCATGGAAATGATCATATCACCAAATCAATATTCACCCCTACAAACGCAATCATAAACCTCAATCCGCAAAGTTCCAGAACACGCACCATAAATTGAGCAATTTACAAACCGAACACATAAAAGAAAATCCGCCTCAAATTCAGACATCGTGGATAGATTTGCAGCATATAAACATGAATCACATAAAAAAAGTACACAGATTAAACTAATTTGAGTGGAACGCGAGAGCACCTCGGACTGGTTAACAAACGGAGTACAAAGTTACTGTGATAGAATCCGCTCCTGATGTTGCACGCGGGATGAGGGGTTGAGGGTTTTTCAAATGGGTGGAAATAGGGACTGATTGATGGTGGTGGGTCTGTAATTTCTCGATCGAAGGACAGTTGGTGAAAAGAAAAAGGGAAGAAAACAAGCTTGATGTCGGAGGTGCGGAGACGTCGGAGGTGTTGAGCGAAGTGCGGAGACGCCGAAGGTGCTGAGCGGCTGCTAGCCGTACATAACTCTGGTAAGAGGAAAATCCAGTGGTGATAAAGAACGTGAAAGGAGAGATAATGGAAGAGAGAGAGAACGCCTTATATTTCAGATTTTTGATTTTTTTCCTTTTAGGTTTGTTTTCTTTCTTTTTGTTGTTTTTAAAAACGCTACGTCACTTTGTAACTTGAGTTTGTCATCCCACTTGGGCCGTATAGCGTGATTGTAATATAATTTGAATCCCGCTTTGTTTTCGGAAATAGAAAAAAAAAAGAACCTTTTTCTTAATATTTTAGACGTCACGTTTGTGTGACCTGAAAATTTAACTTCATAATAGATGTTTTCCTTATGTGAGGATTCTGATGCATAATATTAAAAGGTTGAAGAGATAAGTGGCATAAATAAAAGGTCGAGGACATAGTTGCAACATTTATAAAGGTCGGGGATTCCTAGAAGAATTTACCCTTTCGTTTTTCTTACGACTAAGAGTTAGCAGACACAGATTCCATCTCCATAAGAAAAAGGGAAAAAGAAGATTCAGCTGAAGGGCATAAACTTTTTCACTTGAGGCATAGGCGATTTAAGGTACCTATTTCTTTTTTTTCTTTTTCTTTTTTCATTATGATTTTTTAGAATTCAGTATATTGAGAGATGAAATATTGATTCTGAATTCAGTTTAATGCGTAAATGTGTGTTTATTTTGGCATATTTAATATGTTCTAAACTTATTCGGTGTTTTCATAATTTTAATTTAGCAAAAGTTTTCATTTTTTTATTGAATTACTGCTTTATTGGTAATTTTTCATATGAATCTGAACGATTAGTCGATTATAGATTTTTTGTTTTTCTTGGTGTTAATTTTTGGTTTTTGTCTATAACTATTTGTTCCCCTAGCTGCGGAAAGTATGTTAAAAGCAATAAAATAAATACATTAATGAAAATACAGTATATTCTGGGTAATAATTAATTTAAAACTGAAGCTATGAGCACTATATGAAATGAAACTATTCAACTTAGTTTCTCGTATTTAACTCAAGGAGTTCGGGTTGATGTCCAGGTTTATTATAAGTTTCGCTATGTGATATGGATTATTTATATTTTTTGAGTTTATAACTTGTCAATAGTTCGTACTTAACCATTTGAATATGGAATCTAGAAATCCAAGTTTACTGTTAGTTATTGAAAATGTTCTCCTCCCATTTCCACAAATCTGTCATGCCTTGGTCCCTAATTCTAGATTTGTTAACCTTCCCACTGATTCATTCCCCTTCCTTCAAGCCAGCCCACTATTTGCAAGTTGCAACACGTGAGTGTAAGTCCATTCTCAGACCCTCAGGCAATGACTGATTCTTAGCGAGATTATTGGTATCATTATATGCTTGGGACATATTTGACGGCATCGGTTTTGCACAAATACGATCCGGCATATAGTATATACATGTTGATAAATTGTTTGTCGAACAAAACATGTTGATATATGTTTTATGTGCTTGTGGATATTTATGAATACGTTTTCTATGAACTACCGATTGACTTTGAATGAATGTTAAATCCCCCCCCCCCCACCTCCCCCCCAACCCATTTAATATAAGTTCTAGATCAGTTTGAAACAGAAATTTAATTTAATTTTCAAATGCATATGCCTGGGGTTTTTTCTGCTATGGTTGTTAATAATGTCATTAAATTAAGTCAGGGATGAATCTATGTGATTTTCACGAGCCAATTTGGATACATATTAGGGCTCATATGCTCATGATCAGGGTCGAGCCTGGCCCCAAATTTTCTGTAGTCACTAAAATTCTGACTTAATCACCCTAATCACTAATCCTTCAGGCTGCACATTTGGGAGGATTATGTTCATTTCTAAATTTTCTCTGCTAGCAGCTCATGCAATCAAGGATTTGGTCAAAGGTATGCTTTATTCACTTGTGCTATATTTCACATTAATGATCCTTAAAGTTTTTATTAGAATAATGTTAATTGCAATTGTTCACCGTCGTAATCGTCTTATTTGGCATACATGTGGCGGTTAGTGATTTGATGTATAATCATCACACGAATGTCACATAGAGCGACTGTGGTAGTGAGCGATTATAAATAACATTATTCTTTTTATTATGTCTCACTCACATGACATTAACTGGTATATGGTGCTAATTTTATTTGCACTCGCCAGACATTCTTTGTATTTCTCTGGGAAGTATTAGGAGTAAATCTACTAGCTGATGACCTTCCTAAACCAAGATCCATTTCACACGTGGATTTTATGGCATGTGTCATAAATATTGCGTTAACTATATTTTGCAAGTGGGGAACTTGAACATTAATAAATGCTTGCTCCAATTATTTATTTATTTTTATTTTTTTTTGGATTCGTTCTCACGGTTGTTCGCATGAATTGTGGTGGGCAAATGCCTAAGTTGTAAGTTGTGGTCACTCATTCTCATTCCAAAGAGCTTTAGATCTGATTCAAAGTGCTACAAAATTAAAAAAATTCTCCTGGAATATTTCACTAATCAGCAGAATAGAAAACATATCCAGAAATCTGAATGCTCTTGCTGCTTTGTTCCTTTGAAACTCTTTGGTTCCTCAATTCTAAGACAATTTTGTCTATTCTTTTTCTATCAACAACATCAGCAAGCTACATTTTGTGACTCCATTCCTGTTCTGTTACCAAATTATATAAATCTGAACATTATTCTTCAAATAAAACACATAAAAAAATCTATCATAAATAAAACAATAATATAAGTTTGTTATATTTTGATCAACTCGTGAGTGTCTTTTGTTGAAAAATCACTCCTGTTCCATAGCCTTCTCCTTTATTCAGGCTTAGGACGGACTCTGAAGAAATATAGGCAGAGATCTGTTTTCCATCAAACTCTTTCCCTCTTATACGAACTGAGTTAAGCCTTTCTTTTTTGAGAATGAATGTATTGCCTGTGACTTGAGATATCACTGAACTCCAGTAGGCAGATGTTGTGAGTTGTGACTGTCAGTTCTCTCATAAGGATCCAGAACATAGAGGATGATTGGGCCAATGAAAAGGAAGGGAAACATCAAGAAGAGAAATGTGCTCTATGTTTGTTCCTTTAAATGCTGTTTTAACTCATTTTTTATCTTATTTTGTTTAGCTGAAGTGCCTTATTTTGATGAAATAGAGCTTGATATTCTCATGCCTTTTTTTTGTATGGAAGTACTAATTTCTTATAACGTTTACATGCACATTTAAAGCTACACTTCTGTACTTTGGTGGACTTTATTCAATCACTAATTATTATTATTATCATCATCATCGTCATCATCTTTTTATAATTTCCTTTTTGTTGCATTTCAGCTCCATCTTCTACATGGAGGACATCGTATGTGCCTGTGATTCAGAACAGTTATGCACAAGCCCTGGTTAGTGTTTCACAGTTCTAAAATCAATGTATATTACCTTTTCATGACATGAAAGTTCCTAAATGACTTGCAGAGCTTTATCTTGTACCTACAATGGTCACAGTTAAAACATACATTTAAGTGTTGGTTGTGATCTAGTATAGGCTCCAGTTTATGGTAAAGCTATGGGCAATTGGAGTGTAAAGTTAGTCTCAAATCTCAATGTTTCATATACATGACATGACATGACATGAATAGGAATGTAATGAGCGTGAGGCCTTCCATTTGTCTGTTTCTATTACTTCGATGCCAGACGGTTTTGTTTATCAAAATCCAAGCACTTTTGGTTTGACAAGCACTGGGTAGTAACTGATGGATATATAATCATGTGATACTCAATGACGGAACTTCATTTTGAAAGTCAAATAGGAATTGAAATGGTGGTAATATTAAATAATATACATCAGTTTCATTTTAGCGTTCTCTGTTTCTTCCCCTGCAAAAGGGAAGTCTTGGGAACCATTGACTTCTAGATGCACTTGTTCATTGGCCCATCTTCCTTTTTGTATTCAGAGACAAAAATCATTTTGCACTACAGCCAAGAAAGTGTCAGAAGAGGGCAGTGAAGAAAAGCAAAAGTAAGTTCTCTAAGCATATAGCTCCATATATTTTCTTTTCTTCTTCTAGTTCCTTTCTTCCCAGTAGGAAATCAAGCCCCTGTTTGGTGGCCTTAAAATTTAAAACACATAATATTGAATAGTATTTTTTGGAGAATGTGTGATTAAAAAGTAAGGAAAAGCTACGCACTTACGTGTAGAATATCTTATTATGTGAATGTGTGGTTGGAAATGAGTATGAGAAATAAATTAAACTAAAGGGAATCAAACAGGTTCTGATCAGTGGCTCATAGAAGGTTGCACCTTGAGAGTTCACTTAACATTACTAAGGAGAAAATTGAAAAGAACCTGAATAGGATGAAATCCAAATGGAAATGTTGCACTAGCCTGAAAAACCTATCCTTCGCTGTTAGGATTTTACCCAAGAAAAGGTTCAACCAACCTTCAAATTTATAGTTGGAGAATAGGAGGTCCAATTCAGGTAGATATGATGTTATCGTTTTGTTTTCTATGATTATCTCTTATGAACTGATTGTATTTGCATGGTCCCCATTAATAAGCATCATATTAGAAACTTCAGTTATTCATCTTCTGCTATCTGATTACCTATAAAAAAGGGGGGTTATTCATCTTCTGCTGTTATTGCCATCTTTGATTTCTGATGTATGGACAGCAAAATCAGGCTCATATATGATGTTATATTATCTAACTGGTTGTTTTCCTATGCACCATGACTGGACACAACAGAGTATCGGTAACATTTGTAGACAAGGATGGAGAAGAGATACACGTCAAGGTCCCTTTTGGAATGTCAATGCTGGAAGCTGCGCATGAAAATGACGTAGAGCTAGAAGGTAAAAATTGCCTAAAAATGTAATCTCCATTCTGGACTTCATGTCAACTTATCACGTTTTTGGGCGAGTTTACGGAATACCAGTTTGCTCAATTTCCTTTCTACTGGCATATATTGGTTCAATGTCAGATTATATCTTCACATAATTACTTGGATTTTCTCTTTGCCTGTACCACAGTTTTCATAAATGGTATGCTTAAGCTTGAGCCTAAGCTAATTTGGGTGGGTAATTTTTACAGGAGCATGTGAAGGGTCACTTGCTTGTTCAACTTGTCATGTTATTGTGATGGTAAGTTACTATACGAAAGGACAGTTATTTCGTGAATTACCCATTCCCTTAGGGCAGCAGAAAAAAATTAAAAGGGGAAAACAAAAAGGGGATATCTTGGGAGAAAATGCATTAGGAAAATCGACCATGTTTATTAAATTTTTTTCGGTGCTTTTTTGCTAGGACGTGGACTATTACAACAAACTAGAAGATCCAGCTGATGAAGAGAACGACATGTTAGATCTTGCTTTTGGGCTGACTGACACGTACTTCCCTTGTCGTGAAAATTAATAAATTATTCATCTAGCCTTTATTTGTCCACGAATTTATTCATTTTGATTCTCTGCAGGTCTCGTCTTGGTTGTCAAATAATTGCAAAACCTGAAATTGATGGAATTCGTTTAGCGCTTCCTGTTGCCACACGGAACTTTGCCGTTGATGGATACAAGCCAAAACCTCACTAAAGGAAGATACTGTTCGAGAATGGATGATGCAATTCAGCCACAGTTTTGTAGGATATTTGATACTTGGCAAGTATCTTTGTTTTTAAGGATATGCGGCTTGATCAAGGATTCCTTTATCAACCGCCATCATAGTCTGACCCTGAGATTCAATTGAGGGCAAAATGCATGATCAGGGCCTGCATCAGAGCATGCTCATTTTGTGCAATACATTCCATTAGAATAAGTCCCTTTTTTTTTTTTAATACACACTGTTGAAGACCTCAGAACACTTATTTGAATTATTTGTATTAATTGTATCCTGGGTTTATGCTACATTGGTAGGGAGATGGATTTATGTATTAGATTTTAATTATTTGAAGCAATGGAGGAGTTGCCTTTGCTCTATATAGTTGGGTTGACATTGCCCACTGGCCTTTTCTGCTTCCATTACAAATTGCTTGAGCATATTATAAAGTTCGTCTTTCATAGTTCCTTCTTGCTCAAGTTCATTAACTAATCAGAAAGTTTTCCAAATAACACTACTTAAAAAGTAATAGACAAGGGCATGTTTAGCAAAACGGTAGTTATATGATAATATGGGGAACCCACAAAATTTGTGGGCCAAAATCCACACAACCGTGGTTCTTTCAACTTATAATTCAAAAAAGTTGGGATAATTTGTGGGTCCCCAACTCCACCAAAAGATAAATAATCATGCTATTTGTACAATTCATTTTACAATGCATGAGTTGACAAATATCACATTCATACGTTTGAAAAATAGTTTTTAAAATTGATGGCCATGATTTTTTCTACACACTTGTTGTCAACCAAGTTGTGCATAAACATTGTACAAGTGACTTTATTCAAAGACAAAATACGGAAAGAACTTAAAAGAGAAGGGGTTTTGATGTATGTACACCGAGCTTGACAGTTCGATGTACAGCCCTCCTCACGTGGGGTACTAAAAAGTCGACATATTGTGTTAGGTTGAGTTTAGGGATGTGCACGTGTGTTAAGTTGATAGGGCTCTGGTTCGACTCTTGTATAATCTAATTTATGATTGATTGGTAAGAGGGACAGACCATGTTTGCCATATGAGTTGGTTTTTTTATTTTTTGTGGAAATTATACAATTCCATACATTAAAAAATCACAATTCTAAATAAGATGAGGAGTTCAACATTTCAAAAATCAGAGATTTTATTTTAATTAATATTTTTTAAAATAAAATTTTTATTAAAAATATATACTCTATTACACAAACCTAATTAATTCCCAAAACTCTCTCTCTCTCTCTCTACATTTCTCTCGATTCTCACCTCTCAGCCGCCAACTATCAATGGTGGTGGAAATTAAGCGATGTCGCCGTCTATAGTGATGACTCTCTACCGGCGTTGCTCTAACTCTTCTGATTTTTGGTTACGCAATGGTGTTGGGGTTGGTGGTTGCTTGGTGTTGGTGCTGGTGGCAGCGCAGTGGCGACTACGGCTACGGCGATGGAGTGTTTTTGTCAGAGCTGGACATCTGGTGGTAGAAGATGTCAAGACAATTGAACCGGGAATGGAGAGTATGGTTGATGTTTCAAGTGTGGGGAAGTTGATTGGGGTTGTGTGGTGGGTGGGTGGTGCGATGTTGTCGTTGTGTGCGGTGACCGGTGGTTCTGTATGGTGCGATGAGTGGTTGTGTACGGTGATTGTACGATGTTGTGTGCTGTTGTGTTGGCGGTGTGATGGTGGGTGCGCAGGTACAGTAGTGTTGGACAAACTATGACCTATATTTGTGCGTTGGTGTGTGCTGTGGTGGTGCAGTGGTGAGGCATGGTGGTGGCTCAGGCGATGATGTGATGGTAATATGGTGGTCTCAGTCGATTGGATGGTGATGCGATGGTCTCAGTCGATTGGATCAGTTGAGATGGTGGTGATGTGTGGTTGTGGTGGTGGTTCTAGCGGCGGCGATCTGGGTGATGTGGTAGTTGTGGTTGGATCTGGTGGGTTGGGGTTCGAGCACCGGTGTTGGCTAGTGTCGCAGTGCTCTCAGTTGGTGGCGACGTACGCTTCGCTCGTCGGTGCAACAGTTCCCTGGGTGTAGTGCTTAGTGGTGCGGTGAATGTGGAGGTGGAGGTGGAGGTGTGCGTTATGGTTGTGGTGTTCGGGTAGCGGGTGGTTCTGTGATACTGTGGGTATGACGGTGGCGTGTTGTGGTGGTTCTGTGACGCCGAGGCTATGACAATGGCGATGGTGTTACTGTGATGCTGTTGGTGTGGCGATGGTGGTTCTGGCTGTAGTGGCCACAAGTGTCGGTGGTGGTCACAGATGATTTGGCTGCGGCTGATGACAGTGGTGATGTAGTGGTTACAAGTGTCGGTGGTGGTCACAGATGATTTGGTTGACTGTGAGTCTGTGACCATTAAATTGGTTAACTCGTGGCCTAAAAATTGTGACTGTGACTTACAATTGATTAAGTTGTGACCAAAAAATTAATCGTGACCAACTAATCTAATAATTTGCAAAGAATAATGAGTTGTGAACAATAAAAAATTTGATCGATGATCGACAAAATTTTTGATTCGTAATCAAAAAAAATCTGTGACTTATAAAATTTTGATTTGTGATAAAAAAATAAGTTGTGACCAACAATTTGATAAATTGTGACTAAAAATTAATATGAATTAAATAGATAACTGTGACCAAATCGTGACCAATAAAGTTTTGATTTTGTGACTAATGAATAATTTGTGACCTACAAAAATTTTTATTCGTGATCGAAAAATAATATGTGACCTATGAAAATTTTTATTTGTGAACGAAAAATAAGTTGTGACTATTAAATTGATAAGTTGTGATTAGAAATTAATCCGTGACTAATTAATTTTTTGATTTGTAACCGATGAACAAACTGTGACCTTCAAATTTTTTGAATTGTGATCGTAAAATAATTTGTGACATAAAATTTTTGATTTGTGATCAAAAAATAATAAATTAGTAATTAAATTGTTAATTCGTGATCAAATTGTATATATCCGTGACCTAAATATATTAAATTAATAAATTAAATAATTAAATCATAAATAAATTTAAATAAAAATCTGATTTTTGAATTTTGAAACTTATTTTCTTAATTTTGAAATATATCATACTTAATTTCTCACTTATGAAATTTTCCCTTTTTTTTTTTTTGGCATCCCTTTGAAAAACTTAGTTGAACTTCTCATCGGGTGATTTTATTTGCGTTTGATTGTTTTTAAGTGTGCAAGATGAGGGAAGAAGTTATCGATATACATTCTCTCTTTGCCAAGTTTGGCGCTAGGAGCGTAGCGAGCCTTCAAGAATTGAATCCCTTTGAGTTTAAGATGTTAAGGCTCGGTTTGTTTAATACAAAACTAGAGCATAGGAAGGTTTTAGAGTCAAATTTAACTGTTAGTCGATTATAGAAATTTGCATATCAATCTTGTGATAAAAAATGAATCAAGTTTGTACGTAAATAGAGCTGGACATGGTCCAGTTCGATTCGGTTCTAACGAGAACCGAACCGACTCAAAATTTTCAGGTATTTAATAAGTGGGATCGTTGGGTCCAAATTTAATTACGGAACCGTTCGAGTTCGGTTCCATTCGATTCGGTTCGGTTCGGTTCCGTATTATAATTAAAAATTTTAATATATACAAAGTTACGTTAATTTAATTAATGATATGTTCAATATTAGCTCTTACAAAATAACGTAATTCAATCTTATGTGTTTCACGTCTCTCTTTACTGAATTCTTCATAAATTTGATTATTAAAATCACAGAAAGAGAAAGATAGCAAGCTCAAAATAATTAAAAGAGATGTTGTAGAGCTTTAATTCGATTTTCTCCGGTAGAAACGACACTACAGTAGAATAACAGATTTGGATAAAATTGAGGTCAATTGGATTAAGTTGATTTTGAACTGAAAATTAGAAATAGGAAAATCATATTTTGTGGTTTGAACTAAATTAACTAGTTAACAAATTTATTTAGAAAAAATAAAATAATTTTACTTATTCAAAATAAATTAATTAAAAAATTACGGAGATTCGATTCTTATTCGGTTCTTCGAGTCTTGGCCTAGAACCGAAAATTGAACCATACCTGTCGATTCTTGATTCAAATATCAGTTCGGGTATCTAATTTGAGAAGAACTTTCGGGTTCGGTTCGATTCGGGAGTTTTGTTCAGCCCTATAGGTAAATAGGCATATTGAAGACATTAATATGAATAAATAAATTTTATCTCCCCATATTTGTTCAACCCCCATTGGATGATTTCACTTTTAAGGAAATATATAAATACATTTGATCTATTTCACGACATGCAAGATAAGGGAATATTTTATTAACATGCATCATGTCTTTCCAAATTTTCTGCTTGGTGGGTAGTCAGCCTCTTTTTCAATATTTGGATGCTATTAACTAACATAATATTCTGGCAACAACTTAGATGAAATAATTAAGTTCTAATTTAGAGTTTTTGAGTCTATAGACCCAAAAACACATTCAAATTACAAAACGCATATTAGGTTGAGTTGTTAAAAAAAATTTCCACTTAAATTGAGTATTTTCCCTATTATCTTTGAAAAAATTCAAGTTTAAGACCTTTTACGATGAGTTAATCTAATGTATCCCGACACATAAAGTTTTACTGTTGATCAATTACAAACAAAAATTTTACATGTGAGGCCAGGGATGAATAATAATTTATCTAATGTCGATACAATATATATAAGGTAAGGATAAAGCTAAACGGTACATAATTTGGTATATCAAAGGGTGTACACATGAGGGTGGGATCCACGTGAATAAAATATTCAAATGGATCTCACCTTTTGAAAGGGTGTACACTATTCGGTACACCAAATTATGTACTCCTAACAAATTTCTTTGGTAAAATAACTAATAAATTTTATTAAAAACATTTCTTTCTTAACTACGTCAAATATTATATTTTATTTAGCTTTAATTTCAATCCCAAATTTATATTGAAGTAAACATAGAGCAAACCCAATGTCTCTATATTTACTTTCTAATATCCATTGATTAATTTATCTCATCTAAAATCCTTGGATAAGAGGTAATTCAAAATGATGATTATAAAGACTTTGGGGCTCTCTCTGCATTCAGTATTTCCCATTATCCTCTGCTTTCCCTTCCTAATCTGTATATATTAATCTTTAAGTATTATTTTTCACACAATGCCAGAATTTCTCCCTAATTAATTCAATGAAATAAAATTAATCAATGCTCATAATT